AAATCTTAAACCCCCCTGCAACTTTACAAAACATTGGTACAAGAGATGACTCAACTTTTAAGCGAGCTTTTTAATAATATATTACAGGGTTCAGAGATTCCCCCGTCATGGGGTAGAGCTTTTATATCTTTGATTCCAAAAGAAGATCAAGATCTCACCTTACCAAAGAATTATAGACCTATATCTCTCTTAAATGTAGATTACAAGATCTTTTCAAAAATTTTAGCCAACAGGCTTATGAGGGTTTTGCATCATGTAATACATATGGATCAAACGGGTTTTATAACTGGAAGGTACATGAAGAATAATGTCAGACAAATTATTAATTTATTAGAATATTTAGATAAAAATAATCAAGTTTCTGTAGGATTGATATTTTTAGATGCTGAAAAAGCTTTTGACCAGCTGAATTGGCAATTTATGTTAAGATTAATTGAGAAAATGAATTTTGGAGAAAAAATTTTACAAGCTTTTGGTGTTATTTATCAAAAGCAAACGGCACAACTTATAGTTAATGGGGTTTGTCAGAGGTGTTTACAATAGAGAAGGGGACTAGACAGGGTTGTCCATTGTCACCATTGCTGTTTGTTTTAACTTTGGAAATATTGTTGATTAAAATTCGAGAATCACAGCAAATAAAAGGAATAGAAGTTAATAAAAAGGAATATAAATTAAGGCCTTTCGCAGATGACTTGGTGGTTACCTTAGCTCAACCTACTTATTCTGTAATAGAGTTATTACAATTGATACATCAGTATGGACAGGTTTCGGGTTTTAAAATTAATAACAATAAGACTAAAATATTGCCTAAAAATATGACTAATCTGGATAAGTAGACTTTGGTTAAGTTGACAGATTTTGAGGTTGTCAATAAGGTAAAATATTTGGGGGTTATTTTATCTGTTTCTAATGCAAAATTGTACAAAAATAACTATGAAAGGCTGTGGGTCAATATACAAAGAGATTTGAAAAATTGGGAGAAGTTGCAATTATCTCTTTTGGGAAGAATTACAGCAATTAAAATGAATGTTTTGCCAAAGTTTCTTTTTTTATTTCAAATGATACCCATTTTAAAGAATGAGGTTAATTTAAATGAATGGCAGAAAGGTATTAACAAATTTATCTGGGCAGGGAAAAAACCAAGAGTAAAACTTAAAATTATACAGGATATTCGTGAGAGAGATGGACTCAAGGTACCGAATTTGAAATTGTATTATGATGCTGTGGTTTTAACATTAATAAGTGATTGGGTTAATTTAACAAATGTAGAAATACTCCTCTTAGAGGGTTGGGATTTACTTTTTGGATGGCATGCCTATTTAATTTTTAATAAAAAGGTTGATAGGGTCTTCAAATCTCATATTATAAGGATTTCTTTACTTCGGGTTTGGAGGAAATATTATAGAAGTGATTTTAAAATTCCATTATGGGCTATACCGGGGCATGCGATTGAAGGGATAAGGAGAGGAGTCAATATGGATAGCGTTTCTTATGCACAACTATTTAGATGGGATGGTAAAAATTGGCAATTAAAATCTTTGGAAGATTTAATACAAGAAAATATTATTTACTCATGGTTTCATTATAGACAAATAGTGGAGAGGTGGAAGATAGATCGTAATGTGGGTTTCCTTAGAGAAGATGAGAATTTATTAAAACAAATAAAAGATCAAAGACGAACCCATATTAAGAGAATTTATGGGGTGTTAGTAGAATTGGATTCAGAAGTAGAATTAGTTAAAGAATGTATGGTTAAATGGGCACAAAATTTTGATGAACCGGTTCTATTAGATACTTGGGAAATTATTTGGGTGAGGAATGTTAAATTTACACAAGCCCAAAATTTAAGGGAAAATTTTTACAAAATGTTTTATAGATGGCACCTTGATCCACAAAAAATGTCTCGTATGTATCCTGACTTACAGCCTAAATGTTGGAGATGTGGATGTTTGGATGCTACTTATTATCATATCTGGTGGTCATGTAAAAATATAAAAGCTTTTTGGATTAAGATATGGTGGAATATTCAAAGAATTTTTAGAAGAAGGGTAAAATTTACTCCACAACTGTTTTTGTTAGGTATTGTTTCTGATTGTGATACTAAAGAGACTATATTGATGTTAAATTTAATCACAGCGGCAAGGTTGTTAGTAGGGCAATGTTGGAAGAAGGAATCTTTGCCTACCTTGCAAGAGTGGTTTTTTAAAGTTTCTTATTTGGCGGAAATGGCAAAGATTTCGGCTTTCTTGAAAGACCAATCGCAAGAGAAGTATTTTTTGGTATGGAAAAAATGGATAGACTTTATACAATATAAGTTGGATATAAAAAAATATTATTTAGCTTTTCAATAACTTATACTTAAAATTTAAGATATTTTATAGACTTTTTTCCTTTCTCTTTCTTCCTATTTTCTCGTATTTCCTTGTATTTTTGTTTTTTTTTATACATATATTATTGTTAACTAGTCTACAATTTCTTTAATTAATGTATTTAGATTTGTTTATGGTTTATATTTGTTTTAAGACTTTTTGAAAAAATATTAATTAAGCCTGTATTCAGCTCTGGGAAGGTCGGGAGAGGGCATGGGAGGGTTGGGGTGGTTTGGGGAAGGGAACCGTATTGTTTTGTAAAATTTAAAAATTTTCAATTAAAAAAAACCCTGCAACTCAGACTAACCTGAGCACAACCAAACAGAACACTCCCCCAGCCAATCAGAGCACAGCCAACCCCCCAGCCAATCAGAGCACAGCCAAGCCCCTAACCAATCAGAACACACCTCCACCCAATCAGAACACAGCCAAGCTCCCACCCAATCAGTTCATACCCCCACTGGCAGTTAAAAGGAAGAAACAGCTAAGACCACACATTGCTCCTCGAAGCATGAAGCTGAAAACACCAGCCTGTAGATGACGAATGGGACTTCGTCGAAACGTCACCAAGACACTTCCAATTTTACGTGGGAGAAAACCCGAACAACGAAAGACCTACATATATATATATATATATATATATATATATATATATATATATATATATATAACACACTCTCTCTCTCTCTCTCATTATTATGACTTTTAGCTGGGTGAAATGGTGCATCATAGGTATTTTATTTTTTTGAACCAAGGTACCTCAAATGGGCTATTTTTTAGAATGTGCCCAAAATCTGGGAACCATGACTCCCGAGAGAATGAACTTTGGGAAAGTTGAGGCTACTTCAGTGTTACAGGTTTCACTGCTGGGCCATTGCTGTGATCATGTGATCTTCATTTTCAATGTTCCATGACAGTTTTTCAATTTCTCTATCCACTCTCTCCCCAACAGCAGCCATATACATGCCTGCTGGAAAGGAAAGTAGAGGATGGCGGGGGGGAGGAGGAAGGGGTAGGAGAAAGGAATGGAGAGCGAGGGAGGAAGGAATCTCAGAGTTCCTTTTCTCCTCCATCTGGCCCTCTGAACACTTTCCTGATTGTTGTTTGTTTCCCTGTGAGTCTTCCCCAAGCTGTATGGCACCTCTTATTACCCACATATACCCTTCCTGATCCACATGACTTCATGTACAATTCCTAACTTGCATCCCAGCACATTCCCTAACTTCCTTCCCTGCCTGGCAGAATCCACTTATCTGACTTGTATTGTTCTAGTAAATTTCTACTATTGACCTTGAAAATCCATACTTTAGTGCAAATTACAGAAGTATGTATAAGAAGCAGATGATAAGCTTTCTAAGGAGCAGTGATCATTTTACAATTCTGGAAAAGAATTTTGGGGGTTAAATACTTTTGTTTTTCCAAATCACATTGCAAAGGTTTTAAAATATGCTTTTAATAATTTCATTATAACTTCCTCTAAAGAGCTACTAATGCTATATGCAATTCTTGTTGACATTTTAATTCTCACAACAGCTTCATGAAATAGATTGCAAATGGTGACTGTCTCAAGTTTTCTCGGTAAACTTCATACGTAGCAATGATTTCAATAGAAATCTTTTTATATGTTCAGAAATAAACCTCAGAGTCTACAAGTGTGGACTTCTTCCTCAGCTTGAAAATCTATGCTTTAGGGTAGTGTGGTTGAAGACCCATCTAAACAGTATGTATAAGTTTTTCATTATAACTTCCTTGTTGCCATCAGTTTACTCTTTTGCTTTTATTGTTATATTTGTTTTATTGTTATTTTTCTTTACTTTGTAAATCACCCAGTATTTCTAGGAGTCAGGAGGTATACAAATTTAAATCATCATCATTTATATTTGGCTGTATATATGAACTGAGGACAACAGATATCGTGATGATGTGTTTACACAGAAATTCATTATGCTGCTTTCTTTCATACAATTAATACAAAGGTTACATTTATCAAAACATCTAAAACTGAAAACATTAAATTGTGCTTATGAATGTTAGACATAAATGATAGTTTGAGTTTAATAATAGCAAATAAGCAGTTTACTCAAATCTATTAATTCATAACAATAAAATCATGCCACTTAGACACTCACACACACATAAATCATGCTACTAATCCCAAAATGCGTTCAGTGATATTACAGGTAGTCTTCAACTTACAACCACAATTCAACCCAAATTTTCTGCTGCTAAGTGAGATATTTGTTAAGTGAATTTTGCCCCATTTTGCGACCTTGCTTGCCATAGTTGTTAAGTGAATAACTGTAGATGTTAAGTTAGTAACATGGTTGTTAAGTGAATCTGGTTTCCCCATTGACTTTGCTGGTCAGAAGGTCAGAAAAAGTGATCACATGACCCCAGAACACTGCAACCGTCATAAGTATGAGTCAGTTGCCAAGCATTTGGATTTGATCACATGACCATGGAAATGCCGCAACTATTGTAAGTGTGAAAAATGGTCATAAGTAACTGTTTTCAGTGCCGTTTTAACTTTGAACGGTCACACTAAATTAACTGTTTTAAGTTAAGGTTTACCTGTATTTTACCAGATATAGAATAACTATGAATTAAGTTTTCAAAATATATATTCATTACCTGCTGGTTTACGGGAAAATTCCTGTTGATTTTTTTAATCTATAAAAGTAAAAAGAAAAGCGGATTAATAAATAAACTGATTCAATTATGATTCAGTCACATGAAACAAAGTGGCATTATTATATACTTCCTCTGTGAAAATGATACATATTAATAGGTTGTTCATTTTAAAAATAATTTTTAAGGTGTGTAAAGGGCAGGAGGAATAACCTTGGGGAACAGGGGAAAGAACTACATCCAAGACAACAGTGAGATAAAAGATATCTGAGTCTAGTTCAAGACTGAAACCTGAATAAATATCTCAAGACCCCCCTCTGTTCTCGTAAAGGCAAGAGGGAAATTCATTCAGACTTGCAACACTCTGTTACTATAATCTTTTAAGAAAAAATAAGATGCACATGCTTGGTTTCCTACTCTGGTCTATCTTGATGGGTTGATAAAGTGTCATTCCTGAACTTTGTACTTAAATGTTCTCTCATCAAATGTAACATTGCTATTGTGCAAAGCGACCTTCTACTAAAATATCATTTCAGTCTATTTTACATAAATTTAATTCTGTAAATGTCTCTTAAATAATCTTTTTCTAAACATCTCATATTCTATATGGCAATAATCAATTAGAAGAAAAATTATATTTTTATTCAGAGAAAAAGTAAAATAGACTGAGAGGTAAATACTGAATAGATGAATGCTAACAAAATGCTGTCACATAACAGATGTAACCCAGCTTCACATTTCCAGAAACTATTTAAAAAACAGAAAATAACAAATCTCCAAAGGATGCTATTCACCTGGCTTTTGAGATCAAAAATAGATCTGAACTCATTCTAGGTCAATATGTATTTTCTGATACCGTCTCTGTTAAGCTCCACAATGCAATTCTACTCCACGTTATTCTCTGGTTAAAAATATACTGTCTTCTTGGAGCAAAATGTATTTCTAAGCACTTTCACCTTAGGCACATACAGAGAAAGGCACAATAAGAACAAAACAAAGCTAAGAATACAAAGTAAACATCTCAAATATATAACAAAAAAGTAAAAGACATTAAGCTGCACCTAACTCTACATATCTTTAGATGATTTCCTGTTTCTAGTTATCTAGCTTTTGTACAAAGATGGCGGCAGGGAGGGGGTGTTTCTTACATGGAGCAATCCCAATTGGTAAACCAGATATCTCTCTGTGATATACAGCAAAAGGACAAAGGCAAAATGTGCCCCAAATAACTTTGTTATCTTCTGCAAATCTTGGAAAGCCCTTATTGCATAAAAGATGGAAAACTATTTTTAGGATTGTCTCTAATATACATACCTTCTTAGTTTACACACACACACACACACACACACACACACACACACGTGTACAATTGTATCATTGATCTGGCAACAATTTATGAGTGTACCTTTTTAAAAATAGATCATATAACACCAGAAAATGATTTTCCCCCCTAGAATTTTATAATTTTTCTTAGACTTGATATAGTTTAGGACAGTGGTTCTCAACCTGTGGGTCGGGACCCCATTTGGGGTCGAACGACCATTTCACGGGGGTCGCCAAACAAGGCTGTCCACCATTTTTCCCCTTTTCTTTGGCCACGCCCCTGGCACATGGTGATGTATAAGTGGTTGGGGGTCACGACAACATGGGGAACTGTATTATGGGGTCACGGCATTAGAAAGGTTGAGAACCACTGGTTTAGGATCTTGATAAATGCTTTGGAGGAAGAATTTTCATGTTCCAAGGACAACTATAAAAATGATCATTTATTTATTGGTTAGGCATAAACATTTATTTCCACAATTAAAGTTAAGTAACAGTTCTTTCCCAGAAAAAAAGAATGTGCAGTGGCCAGCATGAATATTCCTTCAGGAATGTTATTTCTAAACATCTAAACATTAAAAACAACAAAAACACAGATTATTCTGTTTAAATGCTTTGTTTTTAGGTATGTGTGTGGGGTTTATGACAATTCGCCATGGCCAGCTTGCCACAGCCAACTCACTACAGGAAAACTTACCACAGCCAACTTGCCACGGCCAATTCACCATAGGACAACTTGCCGCAGGACAAGAGCTACACTAATATCAAAGAAATGGTGGAACAGAATCATTGAAGAAGGGATGCAAAAACAGGGATATAATGACATGTGAATGACAAAATTGAAAATATTTTTAATTTATTTTAAATAGTTAAACTGAATTGTTAAGTTGCCCCGCAGCAAGTTATCCCACAGCAAGTGGGCCATGGCAAGTTGTCTTGTGACGAGTTGGGTGTGGTGAGTTGCCTATGGAATGTTGGCCCTGGCAAGTTGGCTATGGTGAGTTGGCTACAGTTGGCCATGGTGACTTGTCCCATTCCAATATGTGTGTGCATGCCTGCATATGTATATTTGTGTTTGTGTATGTATAAGTATATACAAACACACATACACACACTGTATATGGTGCAGTGGTTAGAATCAGTATTGTAGGCTAACTCTGCTCATAGCCAGGAGTTCAATCCTGACTGGCTCAAGATTGACTCAGGCTTCCATTTTTATGAAGTCAATAAAATGAGGACCCAGATTGTTGGGGGCAATATGTTGGCAGTGTAAACAGCCCAGAGGTGCTGCAAAGCATTACAGAGTGGAATATAAGGCTAAGTGATATTGCTATATATATAAAACACTGTCCTATTGGATGGAAATAGAAATGGAAACCATTATATTAAATGTTGGTCCTTTGTCAACCACAATGTTACAATAATCTACATTCCTTGCTGTGTTGGTAAAGTACAAGTGTACTAGGTCTGAACTTTACTTAAAGTATGATCTATTAATTTCTCAGAATTTCATGTATTTTTTACTCATACCTACTTGAATTGAATTAAATATTTAAAAGAACCACTAGTGCATCATTGTGAGAATTCTTTGTTTTCCAAAGACTAGACATATTACACTGTAGCTGGTAACTGTACTCAATGTTTTATTGTGGCACACATCTTTCCCAGCATTAGGTTGTTGTTTTGGGCTAACTCAATCTTCCTAATCCTAAACCTTGCAAGTTGATATAGCTACATAAATACTTAGTCCATAGCTTGTGATCCTGGCATTTGACTGATATCCTTCTTGCTTTCTATAATACTGAGTTTCCTCCAAAGTAAGACCCAGCCAAAAAGTAAGCCCTAGCTTGATTTTTGCTGGTGGACCTAATATAAGCCTTATTCCAAAAATAAGCCCTAGTTTTGGGACGAGGCCCATGCCTAAAAATCAAACTAGGGCAGAGGTAGAGGGTGAAGCTGCCCCATGTGTCCCACACCCGCTTAGCTTACAGGTAGGAACGCCGCAGCCAGGCCTCCCATGCCCTGACACTTGTCAAGCCACATGGTTCATCATGCCAATGCCACTGCTCCTGGCAGGAGGTTGCACAGCACTTTGGACTATTTCCTCTGCTTGCATCAGGATGCCACGTGGCTCTTCGGGCCGTTTCTGCTGCTCGCAGCAGGATGCCACAAAGCAGAAACAGCCCGAAGAGCCAAGTGGCATCTTGCCATGAGCAGCAGAAACGGCCCGAAGAGCCACCTGGCATCCTACTGCGAGCAGCAGAAATGGCGCAAAGCACAATGTGGCATCCTGCCAGGAGGAACAGAAATGGCGCAATGCGCCACATGGTGTCCAGCTAGAAGTCAAGCAGCAGCGCAACAGGTGTCAGGGTGCGGGAGGCCTGGCTGGTGGTCCTAAGGTAAGACTTGGTGCCTCTTTTGGAGGAAAAAAAAATTAAGACCAGGTCTTAATTTTAGGGAAACACGGTAGTTGTGCATTGCTTCCCAATTTCTCATCTACTTGTTTTGTTCCTCATTTTCTCTTCTACATACCCACACTTTTGTAGGCTAAGGGCCTGGTTGGGTTGAGATTGCCAATGGACATCAGCATATTCCCAAAAATGCTGGTACGGCTCCATTAGCCAGACACCTGCAACACCCCCATGCATGCTTGTGACTGAACTATGAGGTGGGGGAGGGAATGATTGACTGACTGACTGAGCTCATCTTCTCTCAAGTTTCTGAGATTGTAAACTTTTACTGTCCTTTGAGGGAAGCGATGAGCTGAAAATATCCTTGGGGAGGAGGGAGTGGGAAGCATTTCTTCCTGGCTGCAGCTGCTTTTCTCAACTGCAAACAACAACCCTAGCTTCGTTCCCTTACATGCCTCCACACTTTCAGAAAGGCAACATTATTTTCTGCTTCCCTCTAACATTCCTCTATTTGCACAGGCAACTTTGACAATCTTTAGCTAAGTTTCCTCCCTTGCCATATTCCCCTTAATGGGAAAAATGTTGCCTTTCCTCAGATACCTCCTTTTTTCTTCCCTTTTTCAATCTCACTGTCTCTGTGTAGTTCTTCCAGGTACATTGATAAATGTAGTGTCAGAGATCTTGCTGTGAAGAAGAATCCGTTCCTCAGAACATGGCATTGACAAGAGGTGAGATATCAAAGGTAGAAATTAATTTAAAATGGCAAGCCTAGGACAGTGGGGCACATCTATCTGTTTCATTCAGCACCACAACTTGCAACTACATTTTGTGCCGAAATTGTTTCAAACTGAAAATCCTTAGACTAATGATTGAGAAACATACAAATGCCTACATTTTAATATCAGATGATATTGATTATATTGCAATAATTGTGAGGCTAATTAAAAGCTTCACTAAAATGTTTGTTCTTCACAAAGAGAAATGATAATTAAGGCAAATCTATTAGACTGCAAATACAGATGTCTATACATCTGATTAAATTTAATGTTTTATAATAACTTTCCCTTTCCCTTTAAAACAAGCATTTAATCTTTTACCCATATTATTAATTGATGAAACTTGAGGGGGTTTTAGGTTTGTATTTTTTAAGGCATTTCATAATATATATGAATATATTACTGGGCTGCAAGACTAATCGGCGCTAGATTGGAGATAAACAATTTCCACATACATCATACTCAAGCCGAGGTGGCGCAGCAGTTAGAGTGCAGTACTGCAGGCCACTTTAGCTGACTGTGTTCAGCAGGTCAGCGGTTCAAATCTCACCGGCTCAAGGTTGACTCAGGCTTCCATCCTTCCGGGGTAGGTAAAATGAGGACCAAGATTGTTGGGGGCAATGTAAATATATATACACATTGCTTACTGGTGTACACCGCTTAGAGCACTGTTTCTCAACCTTGACAATTTTAAGGCATGTGGACTTCAACTCCCAGAATTCCACAGCCAGCATTGCTGGCTGTGGAATTCTGGGAGTTGAAGTCCACATGCCTTAAAATTGTCAAGGTTGAGAAACACTGGCTTAGAGAGTGCTTGCACTTAAAGGCGGTATATAAGTCTCATAAATAAACAAATAATAAATAAAATATACTTGCTATGTCTAGTCATAATAATACCTGGTATGTCAGTAGTATCCACAACAACAACAACAACAACAGCAATAATGATGATAATAATAAAGTTGGAAGGGACCTTGGAGGTCATCTAGTCCAACCCCCGGCTCAGGCAAGAAACCCTATACCATTTCAGACAAATGGCTGTCCAGTCTCTTCTTAAAAACTTTCAGTGTTGGAGCATTCACTGTTTCTGAAGGCAAGTTGTTCCACTGGTTAATTGTTCTAACTGTCAGGAAGTTTCTCCTTAGTTCTAGGTTGCTTCTCTCCTTGATTAGTTTCCTCTCCTTGATTAGTTTGGAAGTCTGCACTGAGATAAACTTATTTGATTTGCATTCACATCATACTTGCACAGGAATTTGGAACTTCTTTGAAATGAGTATGGCCATGAAATAATGCAGAAGACAGAAAATCAGAGATTAACAGCCACCAACCTCCCTCTGACATCACAATCTAGTATTTCACTGCTTCTCCTGTCCTTATCCTAAGGTTGCTGCAGTGATTTGTCTCTACACTTCCTTCAAATTCAGCTGTTCAGATTATTTACCATTCAGTCTAGATGAAAGACCACTATGATTTTGTGTTGCTTATCTCTTAAAATAACAGGAGCTTCTGGAGTCACGCAGCTGAACAATAGAGAGAAAAAATTCTGCCCCATATTTGACAAACTTTTCTTATCCTATTATTTTTTGGCCATCGTTACAAATCAAAATGCTATGAAATAAAGCAGCATCAGCTGGCATCATCTTACCATGACTCTGTACATCAGCAAGCTAAAATATTCACTGAGTCAAGCTACCGTAAGTGGTAATTTATAAACTTTACCTCAGACCAATATGTTGACATGGCTTTTGAGCAACATACCTTGTCACCTCAAGACTGGATTACTGTAACGCGCTCTACATGGGGCTACCCTTGAAGAGCATTCGGAGGCTGCAGTTGGTTCAGAACGCAGCCGCGAGAGCGATTGTGGGCGCGCCGAGGTACACCCACGTGTCACCTATCCTCCGCGAGCTGCACTGGCTTCCTGTGGGTCTCCGGACGCAATTCAAGGTGTTGGTTATTACCTTTAAAGCCCTTCATGGCATAGGGCCAGGTTACTTACAGGACCGCATTCTGCCACATAGTTCCCAGAGACCGGTGAGGTCCCATAGAGTGGGCCTCCTTCGGGTCCCGTCGGCCAGACAGTGTCGGCTGGCGGGCCCTCGGGGAAGGGCCTTTTCTGTGGTGGCTCCGACCTGGTGGAATCAACTTCCCCCCGAGGTTCGAACAACTCCCACCCTGCCGGCCTTTAAGAAGGCTGTTAAAACCCTCCTGTTCCGGCAGGCCTGGGGCTGATGTCCCCGGGGGGGGCCGGGATATGATCGGACTCGCGGTATGACTGTGGTATGACTGCTTTATTTTACTGTTTTATTATTGTTTTTAACTTTGTACGCCGCCCTGAGTCTTTTGGGATTGGGCGGCATATAAATACTGTAAATAAATAAATAAATAAATAAATACCTGCTGAGACTATTCAATCCTACAAAAGCTTGATCTATTTATTCTGAAATTTTCAATGGAACAAGAATCCATAAATTTATGGTGAGTTTATCACCTCTGAGATACTGAAAAATGGCATTATTGCCAACAGCAAATAAGGATGAGATTCAAATATAGCTCATCCTGTTTGGTACCTCAACTTATCTGAATAGCTACAGAAGTACTTCTAAACTGCATATCAAGTGAAACCACAATCAGTGACCTAAACCGAGTTATCTTATACCAACAAAAATATAAAAATGGTTAACTTGAACAGTGCTAACACTACCTTGTGAAAGTTATATGAATACCAAATATATCTAATCATATCCAAATTGTTGTTAAGCATTTTTGTTATAATTGTGTGGCTAAATGTAATTGCTTTTCTCTTTAAATATAATCCATTATTCCATTAGATCTCTACTTCTATTGCCATCTAATGTTTAAATTGATAAGTAGATTAGAGATCAATTTCTCTTAATTCACCAAAATTAATTAAGCTTTTTTAAATTAATGATTGTTTTAATCTATTTATATGCTAGATTTTCTTCATTGTAGTAATCCACAATCATTGTTGTGGCTGCAGGTGTTTTATCTCTCCAGATCTGGGTATGATCCATCTCTGACTTTGGTTGGGTTGCACTTCTCTATTCAAGAGTGCTATGCAGTCTCTAGTATATTTCTGGGCTCATAGCTCCTGTTCAATGACAGTTTGCATAGCTTTATCTGATGTACAAATTGCACTCTTTTCTTGATTGGGTAGGCTTTCAGAAAGTCACTTATCAAAGACCACCCAGAAGCTTCAACTTGTCTGGTATGTAGCAGCATGGGCACTGAGGTGCATGTCTCAGTATGTTCAAGTAACATCTATGTTTCACAAGCTACAATAGGTGCCAGGTTGCTTCTAAGGCTACTTAATTGGCCCTGGTTAATTAAGGGACTACTTGTTTCTGGTAATATCTCCTTGGACAATTCAATTGGGCAGGTTAATGTAGTCTGAATTCCCTTGATTAAACAATGCTATCTATAGGAACCCTTGATTGAAGTGCATCTTCTCTGTAGCAGCACCTGGTCTCTGGCATGAAATTCTTCCCAAGATCCAGACAGCCTTTACTCCACTCATGCTTCAAAAGAGCTTGAAGACCAAGCTCTTCTCCAAGGCCTTTAGTGAGGGTGAACTATTTATGTAGCGCAAATTTGGTAATCCTGCACAAAGGCTAACCAAAGAGAAATTGCTACCAAGGAAAGAATAAGATATTGAAATTCCCCATTTCATATACTTTAATCTCAAGGATACAATTGGGATAGTGTTATCCATTACATTTGAGAAAATAAGTTAATATAGGATGCACAGGACAGATGTTATGGCATGAATCTCCAACAGAGAAGAAAAGTTAGGGGGAATTCAGAAGCACCATCTATCACCTAATCCAATTGCCTAATTTTTCCTACAGATAGGATTTATTGTATCCTATCTTTACTGGTTTATTGTAAGGAAGATGATCATTACTTGTTTTTTAACAGTTAAACTTCTATGCTTATTGCAATGGTATAAAAGTGAATTTCTCCCTTCTCTCTTCCCATTTTTTTAACCAGTGAGACTATACTGGGAACTTACACTGAATGTATGTTAGTCTACTAAATAAGTTATGTTCTTGCAAAAATAAACCCTCTAGGACCAATGTGATAAACATTATTTCAGCTGGCAGTTATAATTACAGAGTTAATCAGAGGCAATTGTAATTTGGCTTAAAATGCTAGATACAACTGAGAAAGTTATCATTATATCAAAAATAGACTGAAAAACAAGTTAAAATTAATAACATAAAATTATTTAGCATAAGCATAAAGGTTAGAATTATTCCCATTTGTCAAGGTTATAGAGAAATATATAGTCATATATAGAGGCAGAATTATATGGATGAATAAGTAATAATGTAATTGGCTTGCATAGCATAAAACTTTGCGTATGGTAGACAGAATATATGTTTGTCATGTTTCTACAACACATCAAATTTTCAGTATTAATAATGTGCTCTGTAAGAGGATATATGTTTCCATGAAATATACAATGTCTCAATGGATTCCATTACAGCTGAACTTAATTTTAAATGCTTTCAGATAGACAACATTTGATAATAAATGAAGTAAAATATAGAAAATAATACTTCTCTTTATAGAGTTAGTAATCTGCATTTTTAAAAGATTATAACAAGAAAGACTGAGAAAAATAAATGTTTGAAACTCAATTACTTTAGACTCTAAATTCTGGTTTGTGAATACTGAACAAGACCTAAAGAGGTGGAGGATTAGAGAAGTGAAGGGCTTGAAAAGGATCAAAGAAAATAAATAGAGATGACAATGCAGAGATCAGAAACAGAAAACAAGATAAGTTTGACCAATAGTTACCGATTACCCATTTACATTATAATGTATCGGATCTAATGGATCAAATGCAAACATTTGATTTTAATTGACGATTCCATAGTATTGACTGAAAAAGTTTATACAGCACGAACTTTTTCATCTGGTTTTTAAATTTATTGCGTTATTCTGAACTTGCAATGTAAAAGAAATAAATCTAGGAATCTATCTCATGTAATGTTGTACTTTACTAGCAGGGACAGTCTTCTATGACTACATAATAAAGAAGCAAAATTTGATCTAGTTTTATTTTCAGCTCTAGTTTGGCATTGTGAAAAAGAAAGCGATACTAATAATCATAAAATAGATTATGAAGATATTTTTTTTCAATAAATTTTCATAGAATTTGAGTTGGTAATAGACTTTAGACTTCTCTGGGGAAGCTTTAAGCAGAGTTGATGCACACAAAATTTGGCACTTGGCCTGCGAGGCACTTATGAGAATTGGGATCAAATATATGTGGAAAATATGATAAACCTCTAAGAAATATACTTGCATTGTGCTTTGTGAGATTGGAGATATTAATCGCTATTGCTTGTAGCCAGTCGATACAGTCTTCAGCAGACAGGCACTGAATTATTCCACTGCAAATGCCATCCACAGCAACTACTTGGAATGCATTTTGCCTGTAAACATGAAATAGATTAACTTAGAATCTAATCCAACACAGCCAATTTAATATTACCAATTTAATAATATTTGCAGAACAAATTCATCCCACTTATATACTTCTCACAATACAAGATAGCCACCAAACTCTTATTGTTTTTTAAACTATTATTATCATATGATTCTCTCTATATTTAGCTCTTTTACATGGCATATGATGAGATAAAACGTGGCAGATCATGTAGGATCAGCTGAATCCAAATTGCTTCTACTGTTGCTTTTCTTACACAAAAAGCTGGAAAATGTAGGAGTTTGGCAGATTGTAGAAGCTGTAACGGCTGGTACAAGGTGCTTTTCAAACATTGTGGTATAGTTTGAGTCTATTGATTCTGGCTCAAAGTTACCTGTGGCATTTTGGGGGAATTTTATAGATCTATATAGCATCAGTGATATCTTTCTCCCCAAGTAAAGAGGCCTACTTTGTGCAAGGATCTTAATTATGACTAAGACCATAATTTTTCTACATAAATATTACATAGATTTCCGAGTAACAAATTTTCATTTCTAAAATTAAAACATACCAAATTACTTCTTAATCAAGAATGAAGTATGGTTGGTAAGCTTGCTTATATTTATTTATAGTTATATTTTATTTGTATTTATTTTCTTCTATTTACATTTTAATTATGCAGCTTTTTAAATTCTTTATGTTATCTTTTGTTACAGTTGAAGGATGCCAAACCATCTATAATCACTAAATACAATTCATCCATCCATTCATTTATAAAACTCATACAGTGGCTCATACATGAACTATAACCTGGCCAGCTGACAAAACAATTAAAACATTTTAAGAAACAGATAACAACAATAAAAACTATTGGCACCCTGAGAAAACTTTCTCCCATACATTATAGTTTTGTTTTGCTGGGATTCAGTGTCATTTTGCCCAATGTTGCAGGAAGATCCAGCTCTTCAAGACTTTCAATAAGATAAAAACATAACTCACCTAATATTACTGAAAATGTATTTGATGGTAGAAAGCAACTAAAAATAACATTAATGTTTATATATGTCTATATACAATGAATAAAAGTTACACTGAGTTTTAGTGTTGCCCCTTATTGCTCTCTAGTTTTTCAATTCTATTCTGTAGCGGCCATACAAATAGAGTTTTAAAATCACTACTATTGTCTGAGCATCAGCCTGGATACAACAGTAAATCTCTCTGTAGAGCATAATCAGCACTCAGGAACTAGCAGTGGAAAGGGTCAAGAACAAGGTTCAGGTAGAAATAGTGCTTTTATTGCAGACACAAGAAACCCCAATAATAAAGATCAGTTGCTGGAGAATCCAGCAATTCAGCCAGCTATATATAATTGCTCCAGGGTTTAAATCTATATTTTCCTTTTGTGGTCCTTCTATAGTAATGGACTTCTCATTTCTCTACTTTGAAGAGCACTTGACTTGTGTTTTGATAACAACTTTTACCCCAATTGTGCTTCCATGTTCTTTCTGCCATATCTACCTCCTCAAAAGTAATCTAACATTAAATAAGGGAATATTTATTTGTAAAGAATTGATGAAACATTTTAGGCTGAGACCTAAGTGAGGAAATGCAGGAAGGAATATTTTAGAAAATTAATATAGGAATGATTTCAATGTATCGAACATTAAAATTGGAATGAAAGCTGAAAATCTTTGTATCCTAGAAAAATAAATGATTAAAAATAAATCACAAATGTGATAAGAATGTTGAAAAATGGTAATGCTTCGGGATTAATGAGGGTAAGCAGTGAAATGTCAAAATATAAATTATGGAGTACCTGTGACACATTTTAGCAAATACGCAAAGACTGCATCTCTACCTGGCGTTTGGAAGAATGTCATTGCTGGCCCTTTTATGATTTATGGAGTTCAACTCCCAGAATTCCTGAGCCAGTCATGCCAGCTCAGGAATTCTGGGAGTTGAACTCCACAAGTAGTAAAGAGGCCATCGTTCACCACCTCTGCCCTATACAAAGGAAAAGGTAGCAAGGTATGCAAAAGTTACAGGCCTATGTATCTATGGGAGGTGCAACATTACCATTTTTATTGTTCCTTACTTATTATTTGTATTCTATATAATACTGCTTACCCCTCAAAAAAATACAGTGATGAACATGTATGTAAGTTTATAACTACAAAACTCAGTACGCTATAAATAAAACAGGCAAATAGTAATGGATCAATGGCAAAAACAAAACAATTTCTACATTTTATATGAAAAAATTGTACTTTAATAAACTAAATCACAAGAATTGTCTCTTATCCAATCCAGTCTGAATAACGCAAAACAACTAAAGCTGGCTGGCAGAGCTGAATTTTATTTCATGACGACAATGATGATTTTTTTTCAAAAATTAATTAGGGAAAGAGTTATAGGATTTGAAGTTTAGCTCCGTAATTTTAGGATTCCCTTGTTACAATATTTGGTCAAACTGAAATGAAAGGGTAACTTGTGACATATCCATCAATGTGAGGGGATGGGAAAGCCATCTAAGTGTTCCATATCACTATGTCTGGCACATCTATGCTGACTGCTAGAATACACTGTGAACTGATTTACTGGCACGAAGTAATAAGTAATTATGAATTCTATGTATGCTGAAGCAAAATGAATGCAAAATCTTTAGCTAATAGTCTTTTGGGCACTTAGCCTAAAAATATATAATGGATCTAAGTAGCCATCAGAGGAAGACCATGTTTCAAGATCTCAACCTTTGAGTTTGCCAATTGGAAATTTTGCAACTTGCCCATCCATACAATTTAATTGATGTACAGACTAAAAATGAGAAATGTAACACTTGTTAATCCGAAAGCAACCCACTATTCATAATATCTGCATCACAGAATAGCAGGTGTATCATCATCAACAACCACCATCACCACTAGGTGATATCTACTTACCTGCACATATCTGATCCTGGGAGGTACTGAGAAAACCTTGAATGAAGAAGAGGAATTAATCGGAGGTCACACCACCTCTTTTCCCATCTAAGACCTGAAGATGTTGGCCATGAAGAACACGAAAGCGTATCCTGAAAACAGATGCCAAATATCTTTGATGTATTACTTTATAATAAACATTTATAATTAATAAATATTTAGTTTGTTTCATTGTTCTTGCCCATGCATGGCCATTAGATTTTCCACTGAACTGAAGTATCATTAGGTTTTGTCAACAGTTCTATAGAGTCAAACCTGTGTTTCATTGTACCCTATCGCAATTAAGTACACCCTGATAAATTAAATTCTAGCACTTTTTGCCACCACATAACTGATTGATAGTAAACAATTTTTACTATTTTAAAGCAGACTCCCGAGAATACTGTGGATAGTCAAGAAAACAAACAAATGTATCATCACACAAATCATCCTAGAATTCTCACTTGACGAACAAATGATCTGGTTCAAATTATTGTATTTTGGACATATTGTGCAAAAATCTAGTCCTCAAGAGAAGGAACTAATACTGAGAAAGATAGAAAGAAAGAGAAGATAACAACCAATAAGGTAGATGGACTCAGTTGCAGTATTGATTTGAATGCACCATTGGAAGACATGAAAGACCAAATTAGGAACATGATGGAGAAATCTATCTATATGGCTAAAAAGAGTCAACACCAAGAGTCAATCAGTCCATCAATATTTCATTCATTATGAATAAATAAATTGGTTGTTGAATATTTTAATGGAAGCAAAAACTCATTTTGGCCTAATCTCAGCATTTTCATAGTTTCAGGTCATATCAAACACTTTGTTTTCAGTTCTAAGCTTAACTATATATAGTGGTGCTTAAAAGTTTGTGGAGCCATTCAAATTTTCAATATTTCCACATAAACATTATCTAAAATTATCTGTTCCCCCAAACAAGTCCTAAGACTAGATAAAAATAATTCAATAAGTTAAGAAAATCTATTTGTTCATTTGTTTATTGGGAAAAGTTATCCAAAACTAATGTTTGCGTGTGGCAAAAGCATGGGAACATCTAGGATTATAATTAATTTGAAGGGAAAATTAGGGTGAGGTGTTTCAATCAATGGGATGATAATCATGTCTGAGTGTCAGAGGTCCTTCCTTATTTAAAGAAGAAAATTCTGAGTATTCATGAAAGAAACACATACACACACTTGCACACCCTCTAACATCAATGTATTCTGGTGTTCAAAGGGGAAAAAATAGGATGTGTTGAGGCCCCACAGACACAAAGTGTGAAAAAAATGCAAGGGCCCCAGGAAAAGCTACATTAGTGAATTGTTGTAGGGGAAAAAAAAGTCAAGATATTCCTGATTGAATCCATCTAGCCTAATTTAGAAACATGCTGAATACTAATGCTGTAAAGAATTTTGATTGCTGTTGTTTCTTGAGTCTCTGGCTCAGTCAGTACTATAATCTACTAACCTTGAGAAAAAACATTGAAGATATCTTTCACAATCCTCCAGATCCCATCATCCACCAATTAGCATAGTTAAGGGAGAAGGTTTATTTATATTTGCTTTACAAATTATAGAGTTTTGTATTGTATATTAACCAACAGTAAAAACACTACTCATTATTTACTATTTTACTGAATACTTCCAGCACTGGGATAAAAACATTTCCAATTTTATTTATATATTAAGAAACCTCAATTCGATTCATGTAAAGTAAAATGTTAACATGCTCTTAGATTGTGTTCATACTTCTTAAGCAAAAACATTTTCAAGTTCTTGACAGTCTCATAAATCATTCTCTTACCGTATTATTGGGATGATAGTTAAGATGTAAACCACTGTCACACAGAGGTGAGGATGTGCCACTACTTTGATCACTAGGAACACCTAATAAAAATATAATCTATTTAAATACATGTCTGAGTTATAAAGACTTTCTAGTCAAAACTGACATTTGTCTAGCAGGGTTAGAAGTCAACAACAGATGAAGGAAGAGTATTTTCTGTTTTGTGGAGCATTGCAAAGTATTATAATGCTACTCATCTTTGGTGTGAGAATTTCATGTAAGACACTCACGTAACCTACTGCAACATTCATTGAACTTTTAACCATTATTTTTTAAAACAATAATTTACAACTATATGATGTTAGAAGGCCCAGTATTTTATCTGCTCACAAAATCTCTGATCTGCTAAATTTCCCCTCCCCCAAATAACCAACTGAGGAAAGTAAAATGCATTAAGAGCATGAAGTAACCATATACGTAGTGATATATATGTACCCTGAGGACAACCTTTATTTGTTTTATATATAAGACATATTTTGATTAGTATACTATCGTGTTATATGTAATAAAAACTGAGTGGCTTTATTTGTAAAGAGCAGCAAAATTTGATTTAGTATGTAAGAACAACCATCAGTAATATGTTGTGTTAAATTTCATTCTTTTCTTGCCGGAAAATATTTGGAAATGTTGACATTCCATTTTAGATTAGTTATAATTAACCACAATGTCCCTATGCTGACAAAATGTGTTTCAAATAAAATCCAATTTATTGTTCTGATCAAAGAACAGTAATGTTAAAAGAACTTGAACAAGGAGAATAAAATTAAATTAGTATTATATAAATAAGATAGTAAAATTGATAAAATAAGTCCAGAGTGGAAATTTTTATCACATTTGCACTAAATATTGCCACATTTTCAGCCACACATAATTTGGTTATAGCATAGCTGGAATCTGAATGAAGATTGGTATAGCCTTCTTATAGCCTTTTTCTGTGTGTGTGTGTGTGTGTGTGTGTGTTTCTGGGAGAAGATGCTAGCTAACTCAAACAAAATATGGTTAATTTAAATAGGTTAAAATTAGAATGAAATTTAACACAGCATGTTAACTAGGTTTTGCTGATATTTGCAACTTCAAACAACCCAACTTCAAATCACCCAAGACATATATATACTACCGAAACTCTAATGACTTAGCTGGGAGAAACAGTGCATGATAGGGCAACAATTTTTGAACCATGGTATCTCAAATGGGCTAACTTCAAAATGTTTCCAATATCCAGGACCCATGACTCCCATGGGATTGAAATTTGGCAAATGTTGATATTTTCAGTACTGCTGTGCTGCCACACCAACGCCCAGAGGTTCAGTAGATTGATCCGATCCTAACCCTCCATAGGCTGGTAGACCAGCCTCTCCTTTGCTCAGTGGAGGTAGGCCAGTCTCTCCATAGCTGCCAGAGGGTGGTCAGCCATGGTCAAGCTGGCAGGGAAGTCAGAAGTTGCTCCCACTCCCACTGGTTTTTTGTCCTTGGTCATGTTTCTCTATTTAGCTATTATATTTCTTTCCTTTCAAACAATGACCCAATGGGTCATGGGTTTCGCTTGCATGAGCAAACATAATTAAACTTAAACACAATTTGATATTCAATATATGCTAATTGGTTATTTAATTAAGTTCTACTGGGAGATTGTTTAGATAAATGTATTAACCAATGTTAGCAATGCCTGTAAGTCTTTGAATGATATTCCAGTTACCCCCTTCAACCATCTTATCCATTTTTTTATTTATCAAGAATATTTTTTCTAATCCACTGTCCAGATATGCTAATAGGGATTTATAAGATTTTGAACTTGGATATGCTGTTTGGAGTGCTGTTATGTTTGGAATAAAATACTCAAAATTCTGGAGTTTATCCCAAACTAGGATAAAGGGGGCATTTTGCTTTTCCCCATTGTTTCAAATGTTTCCTGATCCTATAATCTTTTCCCCAAGGCATGAAAATATGAAGCATGCATCTGTCAATAAAACAGCAGGCACTAATTTTCTGGTTGATGTGCAACTAAATCACAGACTTAAGTCATGCTGTAGTTCTTTGTTTCTACTGGTTCACTCTGAAAGATGATGAAAAATCTTCAAAATAGCCTTCCTTGCAGAGTGGAGAAGAACCAGTTCAACTTCCCTATGAGTGCTGATCAAAATATATCCATAGCAATAACAATAGCACTTAGACATATATACTACTTCATAGTATTTTACAGTATTCTCAGCTGTTTACAGAGTCAGTATCCCAACAATCTGGGTCCTTGGAAGGATGGAAGGCTGAGTCAGCCCTGAGCCTGTTGAACTTGAACTCCTGGCAGTGGGAATACAGAGTTAGCCAACAATACTGCATTCTAACCACTGTTCCACCAGGGCTCCCACTGCAACACCATAGCTCTTGCATATAAAGTGCAAGAACTCTAGACAAATGATAAAGTCTAACTGTCCTCACAGGAAGTTTTAATCACATGAAAAAACATCATACATTCCAAGCAAAGATTCCATTTCATGTTGTAATAAAGTATAAGTGATAGAGAAAAGCTCTTTCTGAAACCATAATATTTTCAGGAGAGAACAAAAAATCTACTGAGAATAGCTGTGACTGCATAGATGTCAAGTCTAGCAAAACAAGGCCAAAGACAGGATAATTTTTTAAATTGTTTGTTTATCCTCTTGTCCAAAGAAAGGGCAATTAATAAATTTTGTACTGTGACAACTGACAAGCACCAATGACTATTGAAATCAGCCTTTAAAGTAGGATTGCAAACAGGGGTTCCTAAGAACAGCAGATTCTTGTTTCAAAATCTTTTATATGCTTACATGCACAATCTTCATTAAGGGGCAGTTTCAGAAATGCAGGCGCTCTTTTGAGAAAGGACACAGTTAGGGTTACCTCTTCTCCAGCATTCCGAAGAACTTGGACCTGAGAAATAAATGAAAAGAACTGAGACAACATTCTTCCTGGCACAATATTGGGATTTACTGTAGCTTTCCTTTCATGCTTATTTAGCTGAAGAAGAAAACTATAAAGTATTTGAAAACATCTTTGCTATCTTTAGATTTTCTTTTGAATTCTTCAATGAAATTTTTTTTAAACATTTGTCCAACCTAAATTTCTGCTTGATCAAAGAAACCTCACCCTTCATAGCATAGAGATTTGAAATACTGTAGTCTGTAGATAATTTGGAAAGAATGTGATTTTAAAAATGGAGTTCATATCAACACAACTCCATAAGATCTACAGAAAGCTAAATCCTGGAATTGTCACCAAGCAAAATAAAAATCTTGTCTGCAAAACCTCAAATCTGAGACACCAAGACTTAAAACAAGAACAATATCAGAGCATTTCAATCGTTCAGGACCCTCCAAGCAGACCTCAAACACCACTGGATGAGAAATAGTTCAATTCACATACTTTCAGGCAATCTCAGGTCTCAACAATGGGTTTTAACATATTATAATTGTTAAGTGGTATGTTACTTGTAATTTGTCTCACTTGTAATCCTGTATGTACACAACCTCACTTTCCTTTTGCCCCCACCACTCCAGTTTAGAATCCTATACCAGTCTAGCTATGCTACTTCTGATGGTGTAAGCTGCAGCTCACAAAAACATATTTTATTAAAATGTGTTAGAAAAGATGCTATCAGATTCCTTCTAATTATTTTTTTTGCCACTATAGATTAATGTGACTCTCCTGCAAAATTTACTGTATCCCACAGTAAATCAGTTCACTGTCATCTTCCTAGAGCATTTCAGAGGCTGTGTTATAGCTCTCATTAATGTTCTCCCTCTTCTGTCACTGTCTCATGTTACCTTAGGCCTGACCTTCTATGGTTTATCATTGTTTTCTTATTTTTGCTGATTGCATAACTTGCACGATCCTTCTAGCTCATTTATTTTTTATTTTTTTGTGAGACTATGGCTATATTTTCCATTCACACAGTGGACAGTAGTTGCCTTACTACTCTCTACTTACTACTATTTGCAGCTGCAGCATTCCTTTACAATTACATCAATACCTCTATCTCAGATATTTGCATATCTAACCACAGTATGAATTTCCACTGTTTGATTGGAAGGGACTGAGTGAAAAGACAAACTGGCTGACAGCAGCTTTTAATGGTTGATAGGAAAGATAGATCAACTGGACATGATTTATTTATGAATTAATTGCTACTTTTATTTAAAACTAGAATACATTTCCGCTGCTGCTATATATTTCATTAACAATTACTTTTCATCATATATTTTACAACATTTAAACTTGTTACAAAGAGTTTAATATATTTCTCCGTAGCTCTCAACCAACCAAAATGCATTTTGGAAATAGATACATATATCTCCTATAAAATGTAAAATGAGAAGTTCATTTCTAATTAATGTTTTATCTAGTTCAGCTTTCCCCCTCACAAATAACAGTTTAAAAGCCAAATTTTATTCAGTTGATTAAGCTCACAATTTGAATGTTTTACAATACACATCACATTAAGGCAAAGAAAGCAATCTGTGATCTAGGTAGTTACTGCCTACACAAACTATTTAATACCAGATTTTTCCTTGTATTTTTCTGGCAAGCAGTAAATTAAAAACATGAGTCATTCATTATTATGAATGAAATAACCTTTGCAGTTGAGTGTCCATGAGAAAAAGCAAAATATTGTTAGAGGCATACTGTGTATACTACCACACAGGAAAATGAAATGATCAAGATTAATTAGCAATACAACTCCATAACACAGCATTCCATTCCACTCCATAACACAGGAAGTGAAAATTAAAGATAAAAAAATAAATAGAAAGTTCTGAACGGTGAAGATTTTTTGAATTTAATCTCTCTCTCTCTCTCTCTCTCTCTCTCTCTCTCTCTTTCTCTCTCTCTCTCTCTCTCTCTCCCTCCCTCCCTCCCTCCCTCCCTCTCTCTCCCCCTGTGTGCAAGAAAAACTGTTGGCAGATAGACCAAGGCAGTCCAAGAATGGATCCCACTTGATAAAAAGCATCCACAAAAAAGACCTAAAACAACGACAACAGCATGTATTGTGGGCCCAATTGACAAAAAGAAAGCTCAGGATCGTATTGGTTGGAAATATGAGAAAGAGGCCTTCATCCTGCAATGATGGCTAGACATTGGCTAAAATGATGATGACCCCCCCCCCCTTGGCTAACACTGCAATTAGATATATTTCATTTACTTTCCAAGTTATCATGAACTAGACAGCAACTTTTCTTTTATTTTCTCATTAGCTGGAAATACAGTGTCTCAAGGAGCATCTAGAATGAACTTAAATGTGCTCCCTAGTCTCATAGATAATCTTTGCATTCTAATGTTTCCTTCTAATAAATTTACTCTGCTTGTTTTGAAGGTGATGTTGACTTATAACCCTAATTAAGTTTTTACTTGCTTTTTTTTTTTTACTTGCTCCTTTAAAATTAGTACTTGCGCTTTCTGGGTCAAAGAATCTAATAACTGGCACTTTCACAAACAACCATACTGTACAGATTTTTCATCAGCTCAGAGACAGAGTGCAATATATCCCTATCTTAGACTAAACTCCATCCTGGCCATAAGTGAGAAATCATCATGACAGCTTTCATAGAACACACACAAACATATGCACACACTTCCTCAATCACAAGAAAAGATGGATGGTACCTATGAAAACATAAAATTGAAAAACTTAAGAGAATATATCCCTAGTCAGACAAGAGAAGCAAAAAATCACTCATACTTTCCCCCAGATAATTTCTTCAGAATAAAATAGATAAAAGTTATCTGGAATTCCTGTAGAGAACAGAGGTCCTAGTTATGAAGCTGCTCTCAAACTATTGGAAATAGTTTTCTCATTCTTTGGACACTGGACTGAATATGAATATATTTAAAATATTTAATAAAGGTGTCAACCAAGAGTCTCAACAGTTATAATGTAATATAGCCAAATATTGGTTATCACTGTTTTCAAAATGGGATTGCTTGGATTAACATGTATTAGTCAGCTTTACTTATAAGCCACTTCCTAAACTAATCTTGAAATTCAGTTTTGCAAATTCAAAAAGTTCTTATTGAGAAGTAACTTAATTGGTGAAACAAAAACCTTCTAGAACGTCAATGAACTTTCCCCTCATCCCCAGCTTAGTTTTTCAAAACTTGACAATGACATAAACTTAAATCCTTTGACAGATCTTTTTCTGAAGTAATGCTTCTAATAAATACTTGAAGTTATCTTGGCTTATAGTGGAAGCTATTCGGCCTTTAGTATCTGTTGAGAAAGATACTTCTGTACTGCAGTAAAAAAAATTAGTGTATCACTTGCAAACCATATGAAATTTGCTTTCCTGATTATTTAAATCCATCCACATCGTGATATCTTTCATATACAGATGAATAATTGCACTGCATTTGTGGTGCATGGATGGTAAACCTCTTGAAAGTAGTTTTTGTTTCCTCTCATATACATTTTGCACATTTGTAAACAGTTATATCAGCAACACATTGAATCTCATAAATTTATTTATTTAGCTCCATTTCTATTAGGCAAAACACTAAAGATGAACTGTACTGCAGTTTAAAACATTTAATGCATATCAAGGAAAACCAACTATGACATTGAAATACTGTCTACTAACTTGTACCTAGAGTGAAACTTATAATGTCATCTTTCAATCAACCTGTTTATTTACCCGAAAGAAGAATCACTTTTCTTTTGTATGTGCAGGATTAATCATAACTGGTAATATTTATAGATTATAATGCCCATGATCATAACAGAACGATGGGAGCTGTAATTCAGAAACTACTGTAATCTGGGGATATGAGCATTATCCTGCATAGAGCACAGACTGACAAATAGATTTGCAGATTGACAAATAATTATAAAAACGCAAGCTATTAGATCAGCATTATAGTGTTATTTACAAAAGTCCTAAATGTAACTAGCATTTATTGATCAAACCATTTGAAGATAAAACAGAACATATAAAATTTGCATGGCACTTTGCACTCTTTGGATATTATAGTTTTTTTCTTAGAATTTATCTTTAATTTTGTCCCATTGCGGCTTTTCTTTTACTTCTATTTCATATTCCTAATTAGAAAATATTCTTAGTAAAAGATACCCTTGACAGCACTTAATTAATATCCAGGCTATGATTTCTACTGGAGGCAGATAGAATCATTTCAGCTATCATTTTCCCCTAGACAAGAATCTACAGTTTCAGTAGTACAAAAATTGCTAGCATGATATTTGAAGTGCCATTGCAATAATTGATAAATGATTCCATAGACCAGCTCAAGTTGCTTTGATACTGTTTACATGCATTATGAGAGTAATTCAAAAAATCTTCAGCAAGCATGGTGAGATGTCAGGTTTAGGAGCTGCAGTCTCAGGATCTAGGTGTATCTGGAGTATAGCATCTCAGAATACTTATCTACTTAACAATTTTATCAGAATAGTCATTAGTCTAAGAGAGACTAAAAAAAATCTCATTAACTATAAAAGGAAACATTACAAATGCCCAGGTAAACCCATATGTGTAAACTGTCTATAAATTCTAAATATGTTTTAAGGATTGTTTTCATTGAAAAAATGCAAAAGTACTCAATATAGAAATATTTCATGCTGAAATAGAATATATAAAAAAACAATGCTGTGCACATCTTTCAGAACCAATTGGAACTATCTATTGGAACTTTATTTATTATTAAATCTATTTGCTGCCCATCTCACTATCTTAAATGACTCTGGGCAGTGTATAATGCAGTAGCTTTAATTAACTTTATATTTTGCAGTCATGCTCAAATGTGTGTGTGTGTGTGTGTGTGTGTGTGTGTGTGTGTATTTGTGCATGCACATGTGTGAATGCACATATGGATGGATGGATAATGTTATGTCCTGAGCCTTGCAAACGGCTCGGGGCGTTTGCAGG